ATGTCAAACCTTGGAAAGTATCTAGATATCCCTGCCCTAATGCCAAAGTAACTGCCAACTCCCCTCTCCTGCAGGGGGGCGTGGTCAGCTGCAGCTCACAGAATCAGCCCCCTGCAAAAACAGGGCTGGAAAGAGCAAATAGAGCAAAATGAGGCATGGCTAAAATGCAGGATCTGTTTGGTATTTTGAAGAAATATATATATTTATATACTTTATATAGGTATGGTCCAACAATATATGTTTCAAATATAGCATGATAGGTCCACTTTAAGTCCCACACTAACACAATCCATTACAGATATTTATGTTGTTCTACTTTAGCAAACACACCCATTGTATCACTGCAGAGAGCTATTCATTATGATTGATCCATTCCCCCCTCACCATGTGGCTTACATGCTGCCGATGTTTTGTATATTTTTATCATAAAAACTGGGTTCAATGATGGTGATACTTTGTACAGTTTGATGGTGCAATGCTTTAGTCCAGACTTTATGTAAATCATGTGAGCAGTAGTGTGGCGCGAAGAAAAAATATATAACTGCGTATATTTTGGTGTAGTTAATAAAGGCAGACATTTTGGGGACATCTTCAAGTTTTAAGCTTTAAGTGTATCTACTTTTCCCCATAAAACTATTTTGACTGGTAACAGATAATAAAAGGCCATGTATAGTCTGGTTTGGTTCAAATGTATAAATACAGGTATCTGTTTTTAAACCTCATTAAACAGAGAAAAAGCTTTTGTTTTGGAAGGTGACCTGCGCTGACTGCGCTGAGCTGACACGGAGCCCGGTCAGTCAGACAGAAGCAGACAGTTTTATCTCTGACATGAAGAGGCAGGTAACTCTTCCCCTCAGGGGCCGGCCAGGTTTGATCTCATCCCGGATCAGATGTATCGCCGTTAAATGCTTCCTTACCAGAAAACCACTGGGTTGATTTGCTTAGGAAAATCCTGTAGGAGGAAAAATAGTCCACTTGAACTGATTTAAAGGTGCGGAAAGTGCATAGAGAATGGTCCTTTGTAATTCTGAGGCTGGGAGAGATGGAAAACAGCTCATGGTCGTTTGCATGTTGGAGATTTAATGAAGTCATCTAACATATATACCAGGCTCTGCATGGTTTTCATAGATGATATCTAAACTGGAGATGTGTTGTGTTCATAATATTTGTCACACTCTTCTTCTTTGTTGCACTTTATTTCTCTTGTTTGTTGCAACTTATGTAACTGTAAACACGTTTAATAGTGAAGTTGTACATGTGATTAGTCTGTTTGTAGGCGTATAAATTATTCATTTAGTTACATTTGGCACTGAACGTCGCTTTTCCAGCTTTAAATCATTGTTTTAATCGTCCCGAGTCATAAAGACACTGATGCTGGGTGTATTTCTTTCCCATCGGGAACAGTAAAGCACTGAGTGGCCCTTGATTGGCCCCAGGCCCCTGGTCCCCACATTTGCTGGCCAGGGTCCCAAAGTCAAGGCATTGTAAACACGGAGCGAAAGCCAAGGGCTGACACTGATATCCCCTAAGGTGTGCAGCCCTCCGCAGCATGTGTGTTTGTGTATGTCTGTGAGTTAATGACTGTTTCATTAGTGTGTGTGTGTGTGTGTGTGTGTGTGTGTGTGTGTGTGTGTGTGTGTGTGTGTGTGTGTGTGTGTGTGTGTGTGTGTACACTAGGGCTGAACGATTAATCAATTTGAAATCGAAATCGCGATTTTAATTATTGTGTGTCAGTCATCCACACCAATCAGAAGTGCTGTGCTCCACATGTACCAGCCATTGTTAACCAATCAGAAGTAGCCCATGATAGAAGGTGATAGACAGATTGATCCAATCACCTGCCAAGTATTTTTGAAAGTGCCTGCCCTTTTCCAAATGGCTTCCAATGGAGCTTTCCTAGATGGTTTCTGAGTCAGGTTAGTAATGCTCCATCACATGTTTTACATCTATTACAGGGTTACTCTTAAACTGAAGCTTGACTTCAGTTTAACCCAACTCTAGCAACCCAACGGAAGTTTCATGTAAGTGTAGTTCTTTCACTCGTAGCTCGGGCTGCGGGGGTGCTAGAGACTGGAGCATGTTGAAGCGACCTTCCTAGCCGGAGATATGGCCGCATTTTACAATAACAGGGCTGCCAACACTCACGCATTGAGCGTGAGAGTCACGCAATTAACCCATATCTCACGCACTCACGCCACACATGCCTTTCCTCACGCTAAGTTTTCGTCCAAAAATAAATGTATATAAATTAGGGCCGGGACTTTAACGCGTTAATTAAGATTAATTAATTACACAAAAATTAACGCATTTTAATCGCACTTATTTTTGCACCGCGGAACGTTTCTCACTGGATGAGTTTCAGGCGTACCGATTATACTGGAGCACCAACTAACGTTCATGACTTCAGACAACAACAAACCACAGTGAATAACAGTGGGAAATGTTGTTTTAAAAAACGGACGGATGGCAGCGTCGATAAGAGCACGGTTGTGTGCAAATTATGCAAAAAGGAATTCGCATATCACCGCAGCACATCAAGCCTCAAGTATCACCTCAATGCAAAAACATATAGCAGCTAGCGTGGACGTTAGCCTCTTATATCGCGTTCACACCAAAAAGAGCCGGTACTAAAATTAGTTCATGAGAACCTTTTTACCCCCACGAAAGTCCCTGCTAGAGAGCAGAGAGCTGCTAGAGAGCAGGGACTTTCATGCGGCTCTCTTGTGAGAAAAGAGCTATATTTCTGATTGGCTGGGCGGATTGCAAACCACGCCCCATAAAACTCCCAAAAAGTTTTGTGAAGCCGCCATTTTTTTCCCCATGCATTAGCATTATTAGCATTAGCCCAGCGCAGAAACGCAGAGAGACTAATTTATGGCAACACAAAATAAAACATGGGAGCGGTGGAGATGAGGAGGTGTCGGCGTTCTAGCGAATTACTCGGAAGGCTGCTGGGACTCCCAGCAGCTTCTACTGAAGCCAGTCCCCAACTCCGGGGACTTCCGGCCGGGGACTTTGGGCGGCAGTATACGCCGTGAAGTGGTTTGCGGCCTGCCAGTAAACCCAAAGCAGAAGAAGAAGAAGTGACGTCTGCGGCTTCATTTGCCTAATCCTCCCCCAGGTTCAAAGAGTTCTCATGAACTAAATTCTCATGAACCTTTGTGGGAAAAGTACTGCGTTGGGAATGCGCCTAATGGTATACTAAAATCCATGTGAAAAAAATTGCTTCTCACTGTTCTCAGGTCAAATATTTAGGCTATATGTGATTAAAAATGCGATTAATTTCGATTAATTAATTACAAAGCCTCTAATTAATTAGATTAATATTTGTAATCGAGTCCCGGCCCTAATATAAATATAAAAAATAAAGTGAAGGAACAGCAAACTGAGTGGTCTACGAAATGAGACGGTCTTCTGGCTTAGTTCAGTAAAGTTGGAACGATATTGGGAGATTCTGATTTCACGGATCAATAACTCATGAACAAAACGTTGTACCGTGGTAAGGTTGACAACGAACTACAATCACATTTTGATCAAAAAAAGCCAATACGCGCCGTCCTCGGAGCTGGACACATTACATTGGTCTCTCTATCCGCAGCCGGAGAAGAAACGAGTGCTCAGGGACCGTCTACAAAGTGCAACTCCGAAAAAAGAGAATATAATATTATTCAATCACTATTATACAGCTTATTACTACCAAACTCACTACACACATCAATAGTCAACAGTAAGGAGTCTGGAAGAATATGCTTTTGAATAATTTTGGGGAATATTTATAATGTAAAATCTTCAATAAATATAGCATCATCTTAAATAACTTTACTATAACTTTATATAGTATATTTCTACCAAACTCACTATTTGCATTGTTGTTGTTGTTAGCATCTGGTTAGCTAGCTGCGCTTACGATATTATAAGCTGTTTCTAAAACAAGGAAAGGGAGAGCTCTCTCCTGTCAGACTGAGATAACTACAGCTCAGTGAGGTCAGGGACTCTCTGTTTAGATACTTTAGTCTAGTTATCTCAGTGGGTCTCAAACGTTTTGGTCACCATTTATGAGAATAAATGAAAAACAGATATGAAATACTATAAGACAGTAAAACAAGAATACAGTTTAAATGATTAGTGATTTGTAAAATATCCATAAAGAAAAAGAAAATCTGTTTACAGTTCTGTTTCATATGGGTGTTGAGAGATGTATCCATAAATTCACTTTGCTCTCAAAGTGCACCAGGTTGATGAATTTAACTTCAATATTAAAAAAAAAATCTTCCAGGGGGAGCATCCCCCGGATCCCCCTAGAGGAGGTGAGGAGGTGATAACTTATAAATAGCACTTGATTGTAAGAGTCGCGGGTACACTGTGTATGTAGCGCCCGGTACATTAATGGGAAACCCTAGTTTGTACATGTACACATGAACGTTTCTTTTTTCGGTTCACCAAAACAAAAATCTCACTCCAAGCTGAACTCAAATGTTGGCATCCCTGCAATAATCTTCCGTTGGATCGCTTAAAAACAAATATCGCAAATCGAATCGCAATCGCAATATCTGTCAGAAAAATCGCAATTAGATTATTTCCCCAAATCGTGCGCCCTAGTGTGTACGTGCATGCACTGCTCTGCTGTGTGTGTTAGCTTGGGCCTATCTTTGGACGTGGAGCAGAGGAGGAACACATTTAGAAATGCAAAACAAACACTTGCAGTTAAAATCCAACAAAAGAGCGATGACTGACAGTACATTGTAGAAGGAGTGGAGGTAAAGAGATAGAGAGACAGAAAGAGACTGTGAGACAAAGAAAGAGAGAGAGAGAGGGGAAGAGAGGGGGTGGGCAACACGTTGAAACCTAAGCTTTCTGGACCCTGTTTTCCCTTCCTTCGGGCATTCTGTGGCTGGTAAAAAATGTGCTGTATATTTGAAGTGTTGGATCACGTGACAAAGGCAGGGTTTGTGAATCAAAGTACACAATGATTTCAGGAGGAGAGAGAGAGGGAGAGGGTGTGTGTTAGTGAGAGAGAGACGGGGAAAAGGAGAGGGAGGCGGAATGCAACAGGCTGAGCTCTATCGTCGCCGTGAGAGGGACTCCTGACTGACAAACACAACTACTACGCTGCACGGCTCACTTCTCCTCTGACCAACCCTCGCTGACCTCCACCCTGAACGCCACATTCACATCCCTCGTCCGGTAAGCTCGGTTTCCAACCCCATTTTTCAAGATCTCCTTTTCCTTATAACTTCTGCTGGCAGTGTGGGTGAGAAAAGAAGACATGTCAGAGCATGTGTGTGTGTGTGTGTGTGTGTGTGTGTGTGTGTGTGTGTGTGTGTGTGTGTGTGTGTGTGTGTGTGTGTGTGTGTGTGTGTGTGTGTGTGTGTGTGTGTGTGTGTGTGTGTGTGTGTGTGTGTGTGTCTTTCTGGGACAGCACGAGTGGAGAGGTTGAGTTTCCTGAGGACAGCTTTAATTGAGAACAGAGATTTGGAGCGAGGGAGAAAGAACAACAGAAATAGCTAAGGAGGGGAATGAAAGCTGATCAGCACTTGCATGTGCTCCCGGGCCGCCCCATGTGAGGAGATGAATGCTTGTGTGTGTCTTTATTTGTCTGTTTGGTAACTCCTGCCTTCATACAGTTTAATTCACAATTGCTGATTGTTACTGATCACCACAGAAAAATGGTAGAGATCCCCTAAAGAATGACAAGAAGGAGTTATTACGAACAGTTTTCTGCTGTTGCAAACATCAGTCTTAGTTCAGTCTGGGTGCTACAGGTGAGCTCGGTAACCATCTGAGGCCATTCTTCCCGCAGCAGACGGCTGCTTTAGCCCGCAGGCTCTCAGCCAACAGACTGGCTGTCAGACTTGATGGATCACTCCATCAACATCACAAATGGCCGTGTCCGTCTGCTCTACCTGAGTATGAACACACTCAGTCACTTGTCCCCCCCCCCCCATTGGAGGTTATGTAAACAGGTTTCCATCCACACAATGACATAAGCGAGATGGAAACACTGAAATAGGCTAGTCCGGATATCACAAGACAGTCTGCTGTGTGTCTGATCACTGCTGCTGTTACTTAGGTGTGTGTGTGTGTGTGTGTGTGTGTGTGTGTGTGTGTGTGTGTGTGTGTGTGTGTTGTGTGTGTGTGTGTGTGTGTGTGTGTGTGTGTGTGTGTGTGTGTGTGTGTGTGTGTGTGTGTGTGTGTGTGTGTGTGTGTGTGTGTGTGTGTGTGTGTGTGTGTGTGTGTGTGTGTGTGTGTCTGTAATGAACTTGCTGATCCCTATTTTGTTGTTGTTGTTACTGTCGGTGAATCATTTCAAATACCATCCTTTGTGCGACATTTGCTGTAAAAATACTTGATTGATTTATGATTGTGATTAAGATGCTGTTTATGAGCCGAGTGCTTCCCCCCAGCTGATCCGAGCTGCCCTCCTCTGTCCGCTCACACCATATTGCTGAGCATGCCGCTCTTCCCCATGCGCTCCAATGCGAGGCCCGCTGCAAACTCTTGACAAATCTATTTCCGATTAATTTTCCTTGATGTCTGGAGGAATGCTCATCAACACGTCGACAGGAATAGGTACACGAGCTATAAACAGCTGGGTGTAAACAAAACATAGAGATAACATTCTGGAGAGCAGTGAAGGGACTGGGGCCTAAGCTGAGTATTGTCTTCTTTTCTTCTTGCTTCTCTTCTGTCTTCTTCGTCTATCTTCTTCTGTCTTCTTCTTCCTCTTCTTCTTCCTTCTTGCGTTCTTCTTGGGTCTGTCTTCTTCTTCTTCTCTTCTTCCTTCTTCGTCGTTCTTCTTCTTTTCTTCTTCTCCTCCTTGTGATTTTACCATATAAAATGTTACAGGTTCCATGGTGGATGCATCTGCTCTTGGTTAGGTCGACATTTTTTCCCCTTTGGGGTTTCATCATTTGGAGAAGAAACGTGTGGCAAGTGTGTGCATGGGTTTGGCGTGTTGGAGTACTCCTTTAACTGCCATTGCAAAATCGACATCTTTGATTCTCTGACACTGTGTTCGAACGAAAAATGACTACCCATCAGGCCTGAGGAGGCTGTCTGGCTCCACTCCCTCTTTATTTCTCTTTCTCTTCGTCTCACTGACTTCTTTCTTCTCTATTTCCTCAATATTAAAAAAACCCTCCTTCCTTGCTAGTCCGTGTCAGCTGAGTTTGATTTTGTACAGGGTTGTTCTCATGCACATAAATGGAAACTTGGAACTTCCAAAACAAAGAAGCAAGCATTTGCTACATGTTTTTTTGAGAGCAGAAGACACAAATGTTTTCTTGTTCTGCAGAATTACATATCATTCACAGAGTTATTTTTGAGAGCCATGCCCTGGCTGTGGTTTGGTTTGACGTGCCCAATTGGCTTCAGAGATTATTTGGTAGTCGCTAGTAACACTCATTATTGCTCTCTCAGCACTTTTTCAGAATGTAAAGCTGAATGTGTCTCAGTGTGTCTGAAGAGTATGTTTAATCGTGGCCCGGGGCAGCTCTTCAGTACAGGCTACAAAGTCCTCTAAAACACACTTGTAATCCTCTGTCTTCAGGAACAGAAGGCACAGGTTTTGAATGTGTGTGTGTCTGTGTGTGACACACGCGGTGGGGGGTTCAGGCCGTCTTAATGGACACACTTTTCACTTTAATACCAAATGAAAAGCTGCCTACCAAATGCCTCAATTAGGCCTGACCCATGGCCTGGCTCTGAGCCCCGAGCGACAGGAGCTGACCCCGGCTCCGACCTGCGGACCCCCGGCAGCCCACAGGGTTGGCTCCACATAATGACAACATTGTGTGTTTTATGAAGCATTGCTATCATCAACATCATCCTCATTAGCATTGCTAACACAGAATCCACACTGTGTTATTCCAAGTATGTTGGACAGTTTAAACCTGTGCAGTGGTAAAGCTATTATCTGTTATTATACCTTACCTTATCTTTAAAATGATGGACCCAAGGAAGAAAAGTAGATAATTGTGAACAGCGTCTCAGTAACAATGAGTAAGAAATCATACAAATATGGAAAATGTGGAACTATTGTGATGTTGAGACGTCAGACAGGGACCAAATGGATTATAAACTTTGTCCCCAACGAACTTTAAACATGTCTCTATACATTATTGAAGGGAGATCAGATTCCATTTACTGGAAATAGTTTTCATGAAATGAATGTCTGGCCATCATCCTGAAAGATGTCTCCGAGACAATAATACATATCAAATGTTGTTTTCAGGGCTAATGTATACATCTGTGCAGACGATCGTGACTAAGTTAACTACATAATAGCTTGCATAAAATGAAAATATGCATTTGCCACAGCCAGAAACATTTTGTGGTTAGGATTGCTGTCAGGCTCGGATGGTTTATATCCCAGCAATATTTGTATTCCTCAAAATACATTTTTACATGTCAGTTTGACATAAAATATAGTCTGGTCATTTGTTGGAAAATCTAATGAAGTTGTTTGTGGGTGATGGTGCCTGTGTCCCCCTCTGTAATGGTTTCTATGTGTCAGTATGTGCATTTTCTACTCAGTGTGTTCACTTCTGATGATCCCTGGCTGCATTTTCTCAGATTATGCCGGATTTGATTTTGGTTTTATGCTTTGCAGCTAATTGTCCCAGCTTAAGTCATATTTTCCTTGCGCTTGGCTGCTTTTTGGGGAGTTTCTAACCTTCATATCCACTTATGGCGCGTTTCCACTGCAGCGGGTAGCCCCGTTTAAGCGTCCTTAACCGTCCTCAAGCGGCCAGGCCGGTTTTTGGTGGCGTTTCCATATAGCCTAGTACCGGCCAGCGGGTACTTTTTCCCTCTTTTTCCGGCCTCATAAAATCGTGGTTCCCTCAGACCAGGGCCAGGGCTGAACTAGTGACGTCAACACTCTCGACTGCTGATTGGTCAGAGAGAATCGTCACAAGATCGCGCGCGAGTTCATCCCTAGCGTCGCATATATATTTAGAAGCAAGCTTGCAGCATTTTTATAAACAGCATTTTGTAAACGGATGAGCTACAAAAATGGCTACGTCTAATAAGAAAAGCACACCGTGGTTGACCAAGGAGGTGACGACGTTCCTTCATCTCATTGGGGATGATAAAATCCAGCGGGAGCTCGACGGAACAACTCGAAATGTGAACAAAAACAAAGCCGATCGCCCCGCCTACACTGCGTTGCTACCCCAGGTCCTAAACTGTAATGGAAATGCGCCACGGCCTGGGCCGGCCAGCGAGGCAGCCCGAGGCCAGAGCGAGGACGCTTAGGGACGCTTAAACGGGGCTACCCCGCTGCAGTGGAAATGCGCCATTAGACTCTGCCTTTTAGTTTACTCTGTGGCTGTGTGTCTTAAGTGAATAATATGTGATTTCAAACACCAATATTTTATCTAAGTAAGTAACACTTTTGTGTTTTTGGGTCAAGTCAAACGTGGCTAATTATTGTGTTCAAAATTACAAAAGCAAATAGATGTCCGAAAAAAGGATAAAGAACAGCAGATTAGCAGAGCTCACGTCCACACTCAAAAACAACACAAGAAAAACAAAACCAACATATTAAAAAACACAGTCTGTACTTTACCGTTAAATACCCGCCTATTTTCCAGCTGACTCACATGGCTCTGGGTTGAACCCACACACCAGTTTGAAAAAAGAAAGATGAGTTGGAAAAAGAAAACATGTTTTGTGTTTTTTATTTACTTATGGAAACATTTTCGGATCCTGGGGCCTGTTCTCATTCCAAAAATCAAAGTGGGTCTATTATCAGACAGTTGTTTTTTCTTAGCGCTCTCACTAAGGTGAACTTTTAGGGATAGAGAAAAAAAACCTCATCATGTAATCCATTGGATATGCTAACAGTGAGGGTAATGCATGATTATACAAAATGAGAACATCAATATGTGATGTGGAGCCCAGTTCCTGATTTCTTGTACATTTGGAGTCTCTTAATACCGTTTAAATGTAATGAAAAATATGAACACATTACTATATACCCTTTAATTTATTTGATTTTCCTATGTACCTAAAAGCTTCTGGCTGAATTTCTAGCTTACAATGTTGTTGTACCCCTTAGTAGTTGTGACACGTTGAAAACTGTCCCATTGTGGTCCTTTACGTTTAATATAGCGTTACGATTTTATTGATGAAGAAATGCAAACAATAATACGTTTTGGTCATTTTGCCTTTATTCTTGA